TTTAATTTTATTCACATTAAATTTTAGCTAGTTAAATTAACGAAATACAGTTGAAAAAATTATTCCCAGCTTTCATTTTTTTTCTTCCGCCTTATTAGAAGTTATAAATTAATGGAACTATTCTGAGGAACTATGTGCAAAGTTTTGTGTGGAAGGATGCATGTGGTTCTAGGATCTTGGATGGTTGACTCCCTCATGCAGGGGTATCTGGCTGGAGGTGTCAAAATGTAAAACTGTTGTGTCCCAAACTGAAGAAAATTCTTGGATGAGAAGCGAAATTTTTCAAGGAAAAAACTAAGAAGTTTAGTTGCCTTTTGAAAAGCACTTTTGGGAGAACCATGATCTGGATGATTGAGAACCTCCATAGATATAAAACTATTGTGATAGTCAATCAAAGCATGCGGACTTCCAACTGTATGGTTAAAGTTACCATTCAGAACAATTTTGCTCTCTAAAAGAGATACCACTATCATTAGATGGATAAGAGTTAAAATAGATACAAGTTTATTTATAAATAAAGTTAATCGCTTGTCATTTGATCCATGTTAAGATTACTCCATCCATCCCTTTTAATCTTTAATATAGCATATGGATGATATAAATTTGCAAAATTGCAAATAAACTGCATAGTTTCTTACCAGAAAGCCAATGAAGATACCGAGGTCTCTTTTCTACTGGTAAATAAACTCCCAAAAAGTAAGCGGGAATCCCAGAGAGCGCAATGCCAATTCCAATAACAGAATTGATTGTATCACTATAAAGAGGCACTATAACAAGGAAAACTGTGCATATGCAATATACAATGGGAAAGAAGAGACTGAGCTGAAAAAAAAAAGATAATTCCAAGTTAAAGTAAGTGCTTCTTTAAAATGTTCCCATTACCACAACTCTCACAATTTGAAATAAACTTTTCTATGATTGTGTTTCATATCCTAGAATAAAATTATACCCATGACAAATAATATTTCTTAGTGCACGATTTGAAATTCTCGGAAACAACAATATCAAGGACACTGATTTTCACTTTAATCCAGAAGCCAATCTAACAGATAGAAAGTAGATATCAGAAATATTTTGTTTGCGTCTCAAATTAAAGGGCTCCTAATCGGGTTGCCACATCAGAACTGCAAAAATCTAGGCACGACTACCTGACACTTAAAACATTCAGAAAACGCTAGTTCTTTGTTGCCACCCAGTGAATGTATGCATTTTTGCAACCTCCCCCCACCCCATATAAGGAAAAAGTCAGTGGTTTCATAAATGGAATTCTCCACAGAGGCTTAATATAAAAACTAGAACTATATACTAATGGTTACAATTTTAAGTTTTAATTCTCTTATGTTCTTACTTTAATGGGCCTTGGTCTATCTGGCTGAATATGCCTTAAATATATTAATCCTGCAATGGATAGTCCGACAAAGAACCAATAGCTGAAACAGTAGTAATTTATCAGGAGAAAGACATCTTCCACAAGGAGATAAACCAAAGTCATCAAACCCTATCAGGAGATAAAAGAGAAAGAATGAAGTGTAAAGATAGAGGGAAAAATAAATGTATGCTCTAAATCAGTGTTTTCAACTTTCAACAACCAAATTCACAACTTTAAGATGTGTAGACTTCAACTTCCAGAATTTCCCAGCCTGCTCTACATGACACTTAAGCACTGGTTTGTGTCAACTGATGCATTACAGTCCCTCAATTTAGTTTCTCCATTACTAACAACTTTAACCAAATAAAGTGCAGGAATTGGAGGCTTATTTTTGTGCTAGTTGCCCTTAAACTTGCCAAGGAAGGAAAATATGTGGTCCCAATTCCCAGCCAACTGCTATAGAGTCACATTTTGGGAAGTTTCTTTATTTCGGTTGTTGCTGATGGTTATTTTTTACAAAATAGCATCAGAATAATTTGACTAGAAGTCTTGTAACTTCAAAGACATACCACTAAATACAATCAGTTTTCAAAACATACATGAACTGGGTACTGTTGTGACTGCTTGAACAAGGCCTATTTGTTCAGTTTGGGAAAATCAATTGTTTGCCTCAGTTCACAAGAAATAAATATATCAATCTAGTTTTCAAAATAAGCAAAGCTTTCTTTTCTTGTGTTTTATCATTACTTACATTAAAAACAAGAGCAGGAACAGGGGTGAAACATTTTATATGAATTAAGCTCAGGCTATCAGGGAGATGTCCTTCTCTAGCGCCAACATAAAAAAGTCTATCAGAAGTAGAAAAAAAGTATTAATGCGTCATTTTATACATTCACAATAATATTGATTTAAATCATAGCATAACAGATATTTCCTCATCCTCCCCATTTATAATAATTTATAATTTTAATTTTGTTCTTCAGATAATTCAGAGTAGAACATCTTTACATTTGTTTGCAAAATGAACTAGACTGAGTAAAAATGATGGATTCAAAGTTATCTAATTTTTTTAATTGACTACAGAGTTTTGAAACTGGATTGTCATGGATTAAGTCCAACATTTTATCCCTTGCTGTACTCCTTGTGGTGAAGTGCTAAGCAAAGCAGTCTCCACAGCATCCATAGGGAACTGCCCTTTGTAATTCCATTATGATATTAATCATGTAGAAATGTTTGTTAACATTATGTACACATTACCAATAAGGCATATTCCCTGAATTAGACAAAGACACAGTGGAGAATAAGATATTCTTTATGTAAATAAAATATGAAATTTCCACTATCAAAACTAGTAAATTGGAACTTCTTTGGGAAGCTGACCTGCAGTGCCATTGCTAAAAAAATATCTCTGTTTTGTAACCACTTATTGAATCTCAGGATAAATGTTTCAAGACCCCATACTTATAGTCAAGATAGTTATACATTATGTAGAAGATTGAAATCCTTCAGGAAACATTTCTCTTAATCACGTAATATAAAATTGGTGCATAATACAAGTTTCTGAACAGCTCCCCTACTCTTCAGAAAACAGTTTGGGACTTCCAAGAAAGAAGTGGCATAGCTCTGTTAAAAGTGGAGCTGACGGTTATGCTGGAATGAAGAACCAGCAAGGAGACTGGATCTTTGTAATTCCTCTCTGAAAGAGGAGAGGACTTGAGATTTCCCACAAGTGCTCCGGACAATTGCTGCATGTGAAGAATTTGCAAGACAGCACTATCTGGTCAGGATACAAAGGATTTGCTCAAACCACGGTTGATGCCTTCAAAAGGGCACTGGGTTTGGATACTCCCTTTTCTAGTAGGGAGCAATTCTAGCAATTTTCAGAAATTGCTTGTTAATTGCTTTTCATATATTAAGTACAGTTGGATGACAAGTTTTATAGCACCAGGCAAATTTCATTCAATTCTTAGCAAAATAAATTTTCAATGCAAATTTAAAAAACTATTTTTCCCTTTTGGAATAAATAGCAAAAGGATGATTAGAACCTTGATTTTGGAAAGTTACAAATCTACTAAGGGTCTGGTGGATTTGAAATAAGATTTTGGAATTAATTAGAAGTATCCTTGTTATTATCCTTTTAAAGACAGGATTTCAAAGAGACTTTAAAAATTGGACACTAGAGGGAACCAGAATAAAGAAAAAACAGTTTTAGCTTCATAGATATATTAATAAAAGAAACATCTTTTAGTTGTCTTGTTCAAAGAAAATACACGGTTGCTTCTTGAGCCATTTTCAGGAATTAATAAATGAGCAGAAAGCACATTAAAGGCACACATCACCATAAATTTCTGGGCTGACAGTAAATTTCTGTGGTATCCTGAAATTAAGACTCCTTAACCCAATATCTCCCAACAAATATATTGGTCTTCAACTTCCACAAGTCTCAGCTAGTATGGCTGTTGCATATAAAGTGGGACATGCTGGTTGGGGATGATGGAATTATTAAAGAGATGACACCTGATCCTTGTAACAGGCCTTTCCTAAAATGAGATTGAATTTTGCTACCATATTGGTGTCTGATGGTTTGAGGAAAAGGAATGAGGAAGAGTAGTCTCTTAAGAGAAAAAGAGTATAACAAAATAAATTTAACTTAATACCCTGTTTCCCCAAAAATAAAACCTCCCCAGATAATAAGCCAAATCGGGCTTTTGAGTGCATGCGCTAAAATAAGCTCTCCCCAAAAAATAATCCCTCCCCAAAAATTTTGCAGCAGCCATGAGGTGATCATGCTCGCCATCTCCTGCACCTCAAAAATAATAAGACTTCCCTGAAAATAAGGCCAAGTGATTATTTTGGGGAGTCAAACGAAAATAAGACCCTGTCTTATTTTGGGGAAAACACGGTAGGAGTATGCTATGCCATACACACACACACACACACA